GATTGCCCCAATCTCTGAATCTCTGGTAAATCCAGGATATGGCTGGGGTTTTTTTGGTATTAAAAGATATTCTTTTTTTAATCGTCTCAGCTCCCACCTTAGCATTCTATTGCTGAACTATTGTTCCTCACATTCTGATAGTGTACTCATTGTAATTAAGTATATGTGCTCTTCAGGTGCAGAATAAAGTATTTATGACTTCCATATTTAGATACAGGACAATTTTTCAATTATATGCCCCATAATTGCTTAATCAGAAAGGTTATATAAAATAGTTTTAGCAGTAGGGGGGTTTTTGATTAACTGATAATGGAGCAAGCCCATATCACGGTTTATTTTGATCATTTTGCCTTGATTACCAAACCTTACCTTGAACTTTTTGAATAAACATCTCCAAGTTTTTAAATCTGATACTTATCTGCAGTGCAGAAGTGCTGTAAGAAAGAGCAGTATTAGTCCTTCCATTCTCTTTTGCTGATTTGTTTCATCCCTGTCTAAGAAGCTCATTCCACTTAACAGAAAATTGACTAGTACTTTACTGTGTGGAACGCTGCCAGCAAAGAAAGTATTTAGGCTCTTGAAGGAAATTTGGTTTTGTTTATGCATCCATAGACAGTATATATTTTGACATACTGTAATCCAATAGCAGCATTAGATGGGATTGGGTCAGTCTTTAATCATGATTGATGTTTTATTTATATTGTATTTTCAAACAAGAAGATGTTTAAGAGTTTAGCTATGCACTTTGAAGCATACACAAAAACACTTTCCTGTAAAATAATCTATTCCTTTTCCTAACACAAAAAGTAATGTAAAGTGCTACTGTATAGCATTTTTTTTAACTGAAATAGACTACATCTTTTAGTGAAAATTGGAACAATTAAAAATAATCATCTGCTCTAGGACAGAGAAGTAGACATGACTACATCCCTTGAAGTACTTACTATAAAAATAACAACTAATCTTGTTTAAGGAAAGTTTACTATAATTTGTCTTGATTTCTTTACAGTTCACTCTGCTTTGTATGTGTAAGAAAAGATTAACTACAATTTTCTGTTCAATAAAATTGTAGTTCATTTGAATAAAATTACTGGTAAAGGGAGTTGGTAAATAGTTCAGAAAATAATTTCTATCTATATATATATCTTTGTATTGGAAAATTTGATAGAGATTTAGTTAACTAAGGAAAGGACAACAGGCTCACAATGCTACAGTTTTCTACTTAAACTCTTACAGGGTGCATTACAATGACAAGAAATACATCTGCCATCAAAAACTCACATGATGAATGCACTTAATCTTCTGTCATCTTATTCTACAAGATTTTGATTTATAGATATACACTTTCTAGTAAACCACTGTTGGTGCTAAGTTTTGATTTTTCTATACACAAAATACATTAATTTGAAACCTTAGATTCTGAACAGTGCCAAGATACTGTCTGTCTGTTTTATCTCTGTGCAAGTCAGAAGCTGGTATAAAATAGGCTTTCCAAAAAAGAAAAGATCATAGAATCATGTATTGCCTTAGGTTGGAAGGTAAAGTTTCAAGCCCCATGCTATGGACTGGCTTGTCACCCAATAGATCAGGCTGCCCAGCATCTCATCCAACTGGCCTTGAACATCTCCAGGGATAGGATGTCCACAGCTTATGTGGGTAGCCTGTGCCAGTGCCTCACTACCCTCTGAGTGAAAAATGTCCTCCTAATATCTAATATAAATCTCTCCTATTTTAGTTTAAAGCCATTCCTTTTTGCTGTCAGACCACGTAAAAAGTCAGTCCCCGTTCTGATTAGAAGCTCCTTTTAAGTACTGGAATGCCACATGAAAGTCTCCCAAGAGCCTTCTCTTTTCCAACAGGAGCCCAGCTCCCTCAACTTTTCTTCATAGGAGAGGCGCTCCAGCCTTCGTGTTCATGGCTTTATCTGGTTTTGCACTATCTGTTCCATGTCTTTCTTGTGCTGGAGGCCCCAGGCCTGGACATGGTACACCAGATGGGGCCTTACAAGTGCTGAGTTGAGAATGACCATCACCTCCCTCATTCTTCTGGCCCTCTCTCATTTGTTGCAGCCAAAGATACTGCTGGCGTTCCAGGCTGCAAGTGCACACTGCTGGTTCATGTCAAGCTTTTCATTCACCGGAACTTTTAAGTCCTTCCTACCGGGGCTGCTTTCAATGAGTTCATCTCCCAGTCTGCGCACGTATCTGGGATTGCATCACCTTGCACTTGGTATTTTGAATCTCATTAGGTTCATGTGGTTTCACTTTTCCCAGATCCCTTTGGATGGGATCACTTCCTTCTGCTATAATCAGCCACATCACTCAGCTTAGTGTCATCAGTAAACTTGCTGGGGATGCACTTGACCAGTTATCTAGGTAATTGATAAAGATGTTGAGGAGCACTGGCCCCAAGATGGACCCCTGAAGGACACCACTCATAACTGGCCTCCACCTCAACCATGTGGCTATGGCCATCCAACCAATTCCTTATCTACTGAATAGGTCACCCTTCAAATGCGTGTCTCTAATTTACAGGAAATAAAAGATACTTTATTTGTGATTTTTTTTAAAAAAAAAAACAAAGGCATGAGGAAATGCTCTCAAAGTAGCTGGTATAAAATAGTATCATAATAATGACAGTGTTTTTCTGAAATCTTAAATCAGTTTTTTTTTCTATTGTCTCATTATTCATCGTTCTTATTAGAAAGTAACAGGAAAATAGCAGCATCCAGATTTTTCAAACTGACCCAACAGTACTTTGTTCACCCTAGTTTAGGTATGAAAGGACTACACATCTTTTTAATGTACATTCATGTAAATAGAGTACTGCTAAAAAATCTGCAGGTGTAGGAGGAACATACATAAAATCAATTTCATTCGCAGTCTCTTGTGTGCAAGCTGAGTTGGACCTGGGCTCTTCTGTTAGATGGAGCTATTTTGAGAATTTTGTTTACCCTAGAGCAGAATGGACAGAATCCATCCTCAGAAGCTGTTTCCAAACATACACAGATTTTCTGTGCAAAAACTTTTGAAATATTGGGTCTTTTTTTTTTTTTTTCTTTTTTTAATTGAAATGTGTCCTTTTCTCTCTTATTATTGCCCTTTCTAATTATTCATATGTCTCCCACCTCAGGTTGCACATCCTTGCACGTCTCTGGAAATGACCAGGAATTAAGTCTCATAATAATGGGTCTCTGGGATTATCCACTACTGCCGTGCCCCTTTCCCCTCTGTGTAAAAGCCATTAGGGAGATTTTAAGAGTGAGTCTTATATGAGTCTAATATTTATGAGTCTTATATTTATACAATGAGTCTTATATTTATACAATCCAAAATACATATAAAAGGTAGAATTAGTACTTTTGCTGGCATATTTGTTGGCCATCCATGCCTGCATTTCACTTTTTGCTTCTGCCTTAAGCAAACTCAGTTATTTTCAAGTTTCAAACATACTGCACTGTGTATTGGAGAACAATTTATAAAGGTGAGTGCACTGTGTTCATATCTGATTCCTGATGAATAATGAATTCTGAAATAATTAATTCTGATCCGGTCTTTTTATATATATATATATATATATATATTTATTATTTAGCTTTTCATTTTGTTACAGAATAATTGTCTATGATAGTTAAACAAAACCACAAGTACTTATTTGAAATGTTACTGCTGGTGTCCTGATTGATCTGCATGCAATAAATCTGGTAAAACAGAAATGCAGCCTTTATGTATTTGAGGAGAAAAAAATTGTAATCTCTACCTGCTGTCATGATAAACTAAGTAATTTACTAGTATTTATGAGGGCTGCTCTGAAAGTAATGCCTCCTATTTTACTCTGTTGGCCCACATTGTCAAAGATAGATGTTAGTGGCATGGCAGAAGAGGTTCAACCTTCCCGCTTGTAATCCATTACATTTGTTGCTGTGTGATAGATGGCAGCAGAGGGGCAGTCTGACAGAATGGTGTCTGACATGAAAGTGCAGATGAAACAAAGGTGTGGAATTCATTTCCTCCCTGCGGAGCAAATTGCATCTGTTGATATTCATCAACACTTACTGAATGTTTGGATGACTGAACAGTGATGTGAGTGCAGTACAGGTGGTGTGTTTAAGCAGCAGCACTATCATAGCAGCTGTGAAACATTGGATCACTTCTGCTGGGACAGACTTTTATAAGCATGGCATGCAGGCTCTTGTTCTTTGCTGGTGAAAATGTGTAGCTATTGTAGGTGACTGTGTTTGTAACTAAAAATTTGCTCTATTAAGTAGAGTTATTGTACTCTTTCTAGCTGTTGTAGTTTCCATGGAAATAAATAGGAGGCATTACTTTTAGAGCAACCTACACCTATGCTGTTTTTTTTCTGTTGAATCTATTAATGAATTCCAAAATGCAGATTCCATCACCTTTTTAAAACATGTTTACAAGTTAATTATCTGGTACTACACCTCTCCTACTGCAAAATGTCTAACAATTGTTAGAACTTGAATTTTTATTTTCTTCAAATATCTCATCTATCATCATGAGCAATTTACCTTTAGCTAAGGTAAGGCAAGCTACATTTTTGTCCTGGCTCCTCTCCACAGTGGGAGTGCCCTGCTTGCATACTTAGTGCTCTGTGGGATAGAGATTTTAGCCATCAATCAGAAATCATATAGTAGGTGTAAGACATGAAATAAAATCGATACATTTTTCTGAAGCATGTCACTAGTTAAGTGACAAAAAATATTCTGATAGTCACTGAAAAAGAAAAGTCAAAGGTACATTTGAACCTGTCAGTTCAACACATTCTTGTTATCCCTTTAGGGGATATCATACAGCTTGACACCAACATTTAAGCTTTGAAAATTATGAGCTCATCTATTTCAAATGGGATGTCACATGTTCCCAAGCCTTTGCCATTACTTATAATGGAAGACAGGATGATCAGTTTTGTTCACGTATTGATAGTGAATAAGATCTTTTTTCTTTTCTTTTCTTTTTTTTTTTTTTTTTTTGTTTCAGAATGAAGAACAAATTTTGGTATTTTGAATTTGGCACTTCGGAAACTTTCTCAGCCACCTGTAAGAAGCTGCATGAATCTGTAGAAATAGAAGTAAGAAGCTAATTGTTGCCTTTATCCTTTAAATGTCACTAGTTTGGCTGAAATGCAGGGAGCAAGGGTGCAAAGTGCCTGAATCCAACAAGGCAATTCAGTGCACATCTTTTCGACCCTATATTCCAAAATATTATTTTTATCATGTCTATTTGTGGTGTAGCCCTGAACACTGGAAACTGAACACCATCAAAGTTCAGTTTGATGATTAGTGAAGTCTTAATACAGTAGACAAGGTCAAGAGGTGAAATATAACATTAAAAATCAATAGGGAGTGTGGCTAGCTCAGATGGAAAAAAATGAAAGACTGTTGGAGGGAGTGAAAGCTGCTGCAGGATTAAAATAAAAAAAAAAAAAAAAAAAAACTTATTATTTCTAGATCCCAAGTTTTTATAACCTTTAAAACTCAGTTCCCTAAAATTGTACTTACTTTCCTGAATAAAGGTTAAAGAATATATATATTTTTTTTGAATCGCTCCCCTTCATTAAATAGCTTTTCCCTCTGCACCAGAGGTCATTGTTCCATTATACATTGAACATTAACTGCAAAGACACAGGATAGTTACAGACAAAATAGGAATTTAAAATAATGTGCCACTACTACTTTGGATGATAGAATAATTGGCTACATTACATAAGCTGTTTGGGGGGGCTGATATTTATAAGTACATGAAAATTGTGAAATGAGTGCATGCGGAAATCTAATAATTTAAGTTAAATAATGGAATTTTGTCTTAAGAAGTTTGAGGTGCTTTTACTGACAGTAATGAGAAACTGCTGATGTCATTGGAGTATTTGTCTTGTAGTATGAAGCGCTTGGAGAGGTATGGTAAGAGTATGAGTGTCAACTCCAAGCCTACTGAAGGATACAGTCTGAAATGATGTGAAGGGACCATGGATCAAGTGGTAAAACAATAGCAAATACTGAGACTGAAACTGCAAGGCCTGTGGTGCCATATTTTTATGTTAGGCTGTTAATTTCTTTATAAAAGGGAAATGTTCCATACATCCTTCCTTAAAATTAAAAAATAAAAATATATTGATTTCCAAGACAGTGCTTCACACATTTGAGTTTAAATACAGGTAGCCTATAAATATTTATAAATATTTGATTAATTATTGGAATTAGTGCTTACCTTGTTTCTTTTATTTTGAATATATTGCATGTTAAACATGTCCTTTAGGTAAATAATAATTTTGTTGGCTTTCCCAAGAAAATATTTTCTATTCAGCAAAAATCTTATATAGACTGATGCAATCTTCTTTAAACATCTTATTGTAACCATTAAAATGTAAACATCCCAAAGTAAACAGATACTCATACAAGTTTGTGATTATTACTAATTCATATTAGTAACGCTATTATTACCAAAATTAATACCATTGTCAGTGTATAAAATGTTTGTTAATATCCACCTTCTCGATTGTGGCCATTCTCATCTTTCAAAGAAAATAATAGAAACATAGAATTACTCAGGTTGGAAAAGACCTTGAAGATCATCAAGTCCAACCACGACCTAAGCATACTACCCTAACAACCCTCCACTATATCATGTCCCTGAGCACCACATCCAAGTGGTTTTTAAACACATCCAGGTATGGTGATCAACCATCTTCCTGTGGAGCCTATTCCAGTGCTTAGCCACCCTTTCTGTAAAGAATTTTTGCCTGATATCCAACCTAAACTTACCATGGCACAACTTGAGGCCATTTCCTATTGTCCTGTCACCAGTGAGAAGAGACCATCCCCACTCTGCCTGCAATCAGATATTGGAAGAGAGCAATAAGGTCTCCCCTCAGCCTCTTCTTCTCCAGCCTAAACAGCCTACATTTTCCTACTATTAGAAGCAAAAATCATATAGTATCTAAAATGTTTGCACAAGAATTGGTAGGAGGTAGTTATTTACAGATATTGCTATGAGTAAATTACATTTAAATGAATGGTATGCTTGTGTCTCATTTGTATTTTATATAATTTTGAGAGTTGTGCTGTTTTCATCTGTTTATTTTGGTGTGTCGTTTTTTTCCCCTTCTTCCCCACACCTGGGGATGTTACTATAAATGACACCTTGGTGTATAATAACTCATTTCGATCTGAATAAAATCCACAAAGAAGGCATTTGCTCTACAGCCAAATTCTGAATGAACAAAACCCATGAGGATTAAGATCTGTATCTCTAAGCTTGGAGAAAACGATCAAACATTCTGTGAGCGAATATTTGTTCTACCATGTATTTGATTTCTAACACAATTGAGCTTGGCTTTCCTGCTGTACAGTCATTTATTTTAAGTTCTGCATTTTTCTTCTGTTTGAGATAGAGAACGCAATTTTAAACTCAGTATAGTAAATCCTGTGCTTAGGTTACATGGTAACCTAGGAAAGTATATGCTAAAGCATTACCCAAAATAAGAGGTGCTTTTAGTTCTAAATTGTGATCCAGAATTTCAGAAGAGAAACATAGATTCCAAAGGGAAAAAAAAAAAAGAAAAAAAAAAAATTAATGACGTACACTATATTTCCACATTAAAAAAGAAAAAAAAAGTAAGAAAAATGGTACGTAAAGGATATTTAATGAGATTAGTCATACATCTAGCGTAAGTGGGGTACATACCTGCTGTAAAACCATTGTGTGAGCAGAGAAGCCTGCTTATACCACCTGGTGTTAATAGGTGGGAGAAGGGTAAAATGGTTATGTAGCCTTGCATAATACTGCGCTTGGTTACAATGAATATTTTCTCAACATAGGAATGATCTGGACATTTTTGGTGTAATGAATAAAGTATAAAAGATAATGCCAGAGTAGGGACTGAAGCCAGGAAAGAAAATCAAAAGAAAAAAAGAATAGGAACACTAATGTTTATTTCTAATCTGAGTAGGCATGCTCTGTATTTTATTTTTAACAGTGTCATTGCATTATTTGAAATAATATTGTTGATAATTATGACGCTAATAATAATAAAAGGAGCGGAGCACATTGAGTTTTGTTGTTGTAGTTTATGAATGTGTTAAGACAATGCAGAGCTACCTGTAGTGCAAACTTCTTGCCTGTGTGTGAACAAAAGAAATCCTCCATTTGCTAATACAGAAAGTTGCCCGTCACTGTGGGATTCAGAGGCCTACTCAAATAATTGTCTTAGTGTACTACCTGCTGTGTTCTATATTGAGTGAAAATGGAAGCCAGACTCTGCACCATCCTATTTCACAATTCTTCTTTTATTTAAATAATTCCAGTCAGTTTAGGGGACGCCAGACCTTTATAAATTAACAGCAGGGAAATACCAAAGGTGTCAGATTGCATATTTATCATCTTTCTCGTGTAATACTTAAATATGTATTAAGAAGTGACTGACATAAATTAGGCAGATTTCAGAAGCCACAGGCCGTGGCTTGTAGAGGACCCCCTTCTGCTTGACATTTCATCCTTGTCAAAGATCAAATTATTTTAATTTAGGCTGCAAATTATAAGGAATGAAGACTTCTTTGTGGGAATTCCCTGTGGTAATCTGACTTTTGTTGTTACTGCTGCTTGTCAGTGTGCAAAAGATATAATATGCATGCAAATAAGGTTAAAAAATATGTACTATCTAATTATCCAGCCAGTACATTCCACTTGAAGACAGTGGGAGGCCTGACACACAGTATGTGTTTGATTCATTGAGGCCTGCAGGGTATTTACACAAGATTACTTTTAATTATGAAATTAATATCTGTTTATCTAGAATGTATAGGAGTAAGTGAGAGTATACATGAGCAGAATTTTTAGCAAAATAAATGCTCTCAAAATTTAATACGTATAAAATATTGGTAGAAGAAAACTCCGTGAATTTACTTCCAAAATAATGGTGAAGATCTTTATTGTCACAAAAACGTAATTTAAAAGTTATACTTTAACTTATAGTTGTTGCCATAACTGCCAGCTCATTTCCAGATATGTCTTTTCACATTGATGGTTTCCTTCTATGCATGTAATCCACAGGTGTGAAATTTAATTCTTGAAGACCAAATAGAAATGGAAACCTTAATGTCAAAATGGCTTGCTCTTCAGATTTACAGTGTTGTTAGAAAGATTAGGATGATGTAGAGTATGTGTTATAATACAGTTTTGTTTTGTGACCTGAGAAACTTTCAGGGTAAATGAATAATTTTGCACAGTTATTTTTGAGTTCTACTTTCTATTTCTTCAAAGCTTTGATAGTGGTTTAGATAAATGGAGAGGAAAAAGTGCCAGTGACCCACAGAGCAGCAAGCTGCATAATGTCAGTGGACTGTTACTGAACCATGGTTAATTATTTTTCCAGTTTTCTTCCTGATTATTATGTATTGGAATTACAAAAGAAGAGCCTTAATCAATTTTGAGTGCATGGCTGAACCCCTACTGGCTTGCAGAACATTGCAGGAGTAGGATTGTTTCTCTTTTACACAATAATGTGTATGTAGCTCATAAGGATGTCTTTGTGCTCTAAGTAACTAACATGAGGAACAAAGCTAATCAACATTTAGCTGAGATGCAAGTTATGTACCGATCCTGGGACCTTTGCCCGCTTCAGTGAATTAGTAAGTAGAACTGGATGCTTTACCTTCCATGCACAGGTTCAACTGTGGTTGGTCCCATGTTCCTGAATTCCTCTTTTGTCTAAATGTTCAGGAAATACTGAAAAACCTCAATGAGCATTCCAAACATGGACATGTTTTCCTTTGACAGTGATATATATTTCAGAGAACTAGTGTAACTACTCTGGTGGAGGTCCTGGGTTGAGAGATGCAGTACCTGGATCAACATTTTGTTACTCTTACCTCTTACTATGGGTTAGTAGGCAGGCATAGCTCTACACTAATGTACTGATCGTGCCTTTGGATTGAAACTAATATCTGTGTGGTGCTCTCAGGGCCTGCTTGGACCTTGTATGAAGGGGATAGTTATTGCTGTAGTAAATTTTGCAGTGTAAATTTTTGTCTGCTAATAGCTGGAATGTAGCTACATATGTATTTCAATTATGGCAGTGTATCAGGTAACAAGATGTCTGTAGCAAGTAGTCTCATATTTAATCAAGCAATCAGGGGTTGAATAGGAGCCATGATTTTCTGCTCATTGAGGATCTGTCCTTACCTAATACACCTAATGCGTCTTTTACAAATATAAATAAATATATTTTAGGTATAAACATTGAATAAACCATTAACAGTGATAAATTGCTGAAGAAGAATGTCTGATTGATAGAACATTCTGATTTTTCTTTCTCTTTTACTGCTCTTTTTCTCTCTCTTCTTCATTTTTTTTCTCCTTCCCTTCCTCCCCCCCTTTCTTTTTTCCATGCTAATCAGTGTGATGGGATTCAGCTAGACTTGATCAATATTTCTCTGGAAGGAATTGCCATTCTGAACATCCCAAGCATGCATGGTGGATCAAATCTGTGGGGGGAGACAAAGAAAAGACGCAGCCATCGTCGGACAGAAAAGAAGAGATCAGATAAAAGAACCACAGTCACAGACGCGAAGGAACTGAAGTTTGTATGCCAAGGTATGCTTAAAGAGTAATATTGGCCATCTAGCTCCATACAGTCAACTCAGTTATATAATTGCCCTTGCATTGCTTCTTGTCAAGAGAAAGGATAGGCGGCTCTTAATTTATTTTCTTGTGCTTTTAGTTTTTGATGTGAAGCACTGGAGCACAGGCGTAAACATAGACATGCTGACATTACAATCTATAAACTTGCAAATGTACTTTTTTAGATGGGATGCTACCTGTTTAGCAGACTAAGCATACCATGTGGCACTGTTTTCTACTAGTCTAAAAGTGCCTGGATTTTTGGGGAGTCAGAAAATGCTTACTGAGCATTTTAAATGCTTATAAATATCAGCATGCATAAATCTTGGGAATAATCATGCCTTGTTTCTAACAAACTGTCCTGAGGCTGTTGAAAATTACTTCATGGTAACAAGAGCAAGCTACTTCTGTGTTACCATACTGTGATGCTGCGTGCAATTCTTCATTGCATATGCCATTGGTTGTTTGCATGAGTGTCATACTTCCTTTTAGGACTCATTACTTTCCTGGTGATTATGAGAATTTGCTCTTTATATTTTAATATATATATATGTATGTGTGTATTATTATTATTATACATATTTTGAGAAACCCTTACAGTAAATAGTAATCTGTTCTACTTCACAGAATCTGAACACCAGGTGTTTTAACACATCATTATATGTCACAAATTGTGGTGCTTTAAAAACAATGTTCTGCTCACACTGAGGGATGAACAGACCAGACTTCAAAAACTTTTTTTTTTTTTTTTCCTCCTTCTTTACTTCTTATTCTATGGAAGTAGTATCAACTACTTCTGTGGTTCTGGCAACCTTAGACTTAATAAAGGTCAGGACTTTATCTGCCTGATTTTACCATGGTTCTTTTACTGGTTTTGGATATCCTATTTTCTACATTTCCTCAGAAGCAATTCTTAAATCACTAGTTATATCTTAATTAATATGCAGTGTGATTTGAATCTAGCAAGATTACCTGGATGACAAATGTTTGGGAATAAAGTAATTTTGGCTTCGAGCTTGCAACATGTATGAGGACCCAAGATCTGCTGTGTGTTTTAGAAGTTTTAGGAACTAAGTGATAGATGAAGAAGTGATAGATATACAATAAATGTGATGGATGGAACATCCTTCATTCCAGTTTGTGCCCACTGTCCCTTGTCTTGTCAATGGCACCAGTGAAAAAAACTTGGCTGCATCCTTCTGACAACTTCCCCTTAGATATTTATAAGCATTGATAAGATCACCTCTTAGTCTTCTCCAGGCTGAACAATCCCAGGGCTCTCAGCATTTCTTCATACAGGAGGTGCTCTGGGCCCCTAATAATCTTTGCAGCCATTCGCTGGACTCTCTTTAGAAAAGTCTTTGTTAAACTGAGGAGCCCAGGATGGCACACAGTACTTCAGATGTAGCTTCACCAGAGCAGAGGTAGAGGGGGAGAAAAACTTCCTTTGACCTGCTGGCCACATTCTTTTTAATGCACCCCCAGGATACCATGGACCTCCTTGGCCAAAGGGGTACACTGACGGCTCATGTTCAACCCACTGTCTACCAGAACATGCACAGAGCTCCTTTTCAGCAGGTCAGCCCCTAACTTGTACTAATGCATGCAGTTATTCCTGCCCATGTATAGGACCCTACACTTGCCCTGCCTGCAATATTCCCTAAGGTAAGGAACCGTAAGGCTTTTCTCCGCCCAGCTCTCCAGCCTGTCCAAGTCTTGCTGAATGACAGCACAGCCTTCTAGTGTGTCAGCCACTCTGCACAGCTTCGTATCATCAGCAAACTTGCTGAGGGTGCACTCAGTCCCTTCATCCAGGTCACTGATGAAGATGCTAAATAATACCAGACCCAGCATTGACCTCTGGGGAACAGCACTAGATACAGGCCTCCAAGTAGAAAGTATGCTACTGATCATAACCCTCTAAGCTCTTCCAGTCAACCAGTTCTCAGTGCACCTAACTGTACACTCATCTTTCACTTACTTCCTAAAACTGCTTAAACACACAGCAGATTTTGGGTCCTCACACATGTTGCAAGCTCGAAGCCAAAATTACTTTATTCCCAATAAAACTTATTTACTTTATGGGTAACAGAGCACTGGAACAAGATGTCCAAAGAGGTTGTGGAGTCTCCTCTGGGGATATTCAAAACCTGTCTGGATGCTTCTCAGTGCAACCTCCTGTAGGGAGGCTGATTTAGCAGGGGGGTTGAACTAGATGATCTCCAGACATCCTTTCCAACACCTACATTCTGTGATTCTGTAATTTCACATGTTCTCAGTATCTCAAAGTAACTTACCAATATGCTCTGTCACCTGAAGTCTTACCAGCTGCTGAGCTTCTGCTGCTTCTACATATGCTTGAGTCTCTGTATACTATTTCAGTGTTCAGGGGATAGAAGCAGGCTAATGGGTATTGGATTCATCAAAATACTTTCTTTTGTATTTCTTCTTAACATAGTGAGATGGGACAGTTCCCCATTGGATAGTAATGAAACAAATTATTGTAATCTCTTTTACTGTTCTCTGTTAAATAGGTAGCATGATTTCAAACTAATGACTATTTTCGGTGTCCATATTAGAAGGTGTTGCTACCCATTTCTGTTTTCCTGGACAGGAAATAATAGTAATATCAAAGACTTTGGAAAATATCAAAGTTATCGGAAAGGCTGTATTAGCTATGGAAATGCTCATAATGCAACATTAAGTCCCATACTGTAGAAACTATGTGCTGTGGATGAAAATATTTCAAACCATGGCGAGTTTCAAAGCAAAGGTTGACTCCTCTTAGTAGACTGGAGCACCTGTATCTCATCACTGAGTACATGGGTAGTATTATGTTACAAGGACTGCTCCAAAGATAATGCCTCCTGTTTATTTCCCAACAAAATACAACTGATGCAAAGAGTACAATAACACTATTTGATAGAGCAAATTCTCAGCTACAAAACATTTTTTTTCAACATAATTACCAACATTACTAGATTCACTCAGTTGAGCTGATCAAATCTCTTCATTTCATGCTGTGGCAGCTGTGCATAGCCATTCAGAATGTGACTTGTCTTTCACATTGATTTCGCCACTGCATTGCCTACCACATCATTGTGCTGGCATCCACTGTTTTGTTTCCATAAAAGTTCAGAAAGCATCAATAAATATCAAGAGATGCATTTTTTTCCGCATGGAGTAATTCAGTTCCGCACCTTTGTTTCATACACAGTTCCATTTCAGACCCCATTTTGTCAGACTCCCCCTCTGCTGCCATCTATCCCACAGAAACAAATGTTAATGGAGTATTGGAAAGTCTAGCCTCTACTGTCATACCACTGACATCCTCCTTTAATGTCATCAACCAACATATTAAATTAGGAGACATTACTTTCAGAGTGCTCATATTTTTATATTGAATTGCTAACTGGTTTTTATGTTTTCAAATTAAAACATATATGAAAATGTATTTATGTAATTAACATAAATTGTTGGAAAGAAAACCTTTTTGAGCAATAATGTGCTATTATTGAATTCTCTGTTACTGGAAACAAATAGTGCATTTTTTATTTTGCATAATTACAGTCTTTTTTTTCTAATATAACTTTAATTTCTGTTTTAATTTTGATTTCTGAATCATTTGTATTGTACAAAGTTGATGTATCAGGAAAAATAAATAGTATAACTACAGCTGTATGGGAATTGCTGAATCATGGCCTGAACCTCTGATTGATCACCTGAGGCGAGCAATGAGTCAGCTATGGAGTGCAGGTGAAGGCAATTCACCTGTGCTGCCAGAAGGGGTGGAGCCTGGCTCCACCTCTCCTAGACCTATTTAAGAGCTGACTGCCAGTGAGGAAGGATTTCTTCTGGAGATCCGCTCTGCTGGAGTTGCATAAGTGAGCCCAGGATACGAGTCTTTTCTGCTTTGGTGTAGTAACTGCGTAGCCAAGCTCTCTGGCACATCTCATAACTATAACCTCTGTACATTCATTGATTGTACAACAGATACATGTCAGTTCATGATGGTAGATAATTCAGTTAGAACTTTGACTTGAAGAGTCTGATATTTGTAGCATTTCTGTTTTTTTCTTTATTTTCTTAGTCATACATATCTATGATCTGTCTGCAGTCTTTTTTTTTTTTTTTTTTTTTTGTAAGTACAGAATTTATATACAACTGTGAACCATCCCTGAATATTATTTGGACAGGAATTTGATTTGGATATATACAGATATTGATAAATGCCAAAAATTATTGCTCAAAAAAGATGAACATACTGCATTTCAACTAAATTATGAGTTGAGAAACATAAATGTAAATAACTATACTATTTACTGTTAGGAGGCGACATCCAAAACATAAATTGAATCATGATAGCATCTTCCATGAAAGATATGCCACTTATGTTAGGTGTTAAGCAGCAAAATTTTCTTATTCACAGAGACACTAAGTAAATATGTCAAGCCTTTTGTGATATGAAGAAATTAATAGTGAAGTTTTCAAAATAATAAACTTTTTGCTGGGTAGAGTAAGAGTCCTTTAGGAGGGTGTTGCTGTAATTTGTTTTGCTTTCATTGTTAAAGTTCAGTTAGAGCTCTGTCCTGAAATAGATTCTTTTATGAGGTTTTTGATCTTTAAAGACATCATTGCAAGTGTTTACATAACCTTTTTTCGCATGACTAATTTCAGTCACCTCAGTGAACTCATTCTTGAAGGCAGTGTCTATGAGCTATGAATGGGTGAAAACTTAAACCTGTAAATATTTCAGTTCAGTATTTCCTTCTGTATTTTGTACATCATCAGGCACACTGATATTTAACAAGTCCGTAACAAGTTGATCTGTGCAGCTTGTTAGAAGAGCTGCAGTGAGGTATTGCTCAGCAACGTGACAGACTATTTTGAGATAACATGCATTCATATCACGGTATCTAGGCATAAACCAAGCTTACTGATCTGATTCAATAACTCTGTGTGGAAATCTTGGT